TAGTTGACTTCTCTCTATGAATGAGTTCGTGTGCAAGTGTGTGTGGGGTAGGGTGACAAATGGGTGGGTGTGGGTGCCTAGTTATGTGAATGTGTCTATGCTAAATGGGGTAAAGAAATTAGGATGAATATAAGTTCACTGTCTTAGATTACCAATTCTCTCAAAATTTTAAGTTGTTAGGAAATGTCCAATATATATCAAACTATCTAACACCCTCCCTCTCTCACATGGACAAGCAAAGAGGATATATAATCTCAACTAAGGAGCACAAACACACAAAACACAGTGCACAATAAACAACACAGCTAGGGAACAAATACATACTAGGTGACTTCAACCCAAAATAAAAGTAAAAATTCATAGACAAAATCCAAAAATAGCAACTTAAAAGTCTCACAACATCTATTGAAGTTCAAATTTTAATTTGAAAACAACAACAATTGATTAGATATGAGATACAAATTAAAGAACAACAGTATGTTAAGGGAAAAAAATATAAATCCAATACCTACAAAAGTCGATTCATGGGAACTGGCCGCTAAAGAACTAGTAACTCTAAAATATAAAAACTTAATGGATGGATAGAGGAAAGAATTAGTAACTCTAAGTTCACCTTCTCTTTAAAACAAAGGCAATAAAAATAAGAAAATAGAAGAAATGAAAGGAAGAACAAATAATATTGTGCCCGATTATCTGCTTTTCCAATTATATCGTTATTAGAGAAATCTGAAGCCACAGTTACACACCATAATCAATATTGCCTCTATAAACAGTCCAATCAACTAAGATTCTTTTTATTTCTTAAAAAATAACTGGTTTCCTAAATGAGCAAATTTTCTTTTATTCCTTTTAATGTACTAATGTTGTAAACTTGTCAGGAACCATTTTTTTTTCTACTCTATCCTTTCCCATAATACTCCCATCTACTCATACTGATTAAAATCACATGCTGCTCAAGAATCCCTGTATCTACTCCAAATTTGAAGGTTGTTTCATTCTTGACTAACCATGCAATTATGTGAAGGTTACTACTAGTTCACATATATAGATAATTGTAAACATAATCCGTGCATAGCACGGGTGATATGCTAGTTGACCAGTAATAGGAAATGAAACTCTCTAAATTTGTGGCAAATTTTTATCAAGGTATTTTGTAGATTTAGAGAGAACTAGTCATGAATCAAGTGAAAGCTAATTTGATATACTTTGATCAAGGTATTTGGACAGCAGTAGCTGCTCTCAGTGGTCTGGTACATAATCTGTTAGGATGTCTGGTTCATAATCTGTTCTATTTTGGCCAAATTCAAACAATTTGAAAATACATTAGTCTACATTGTACTTTGCAACTTTACTACTTAAATATGTTCCATCTCAATCTATGTTATATACTTGGAGAACTAAGGAAAGATTAGAGATAGACAACGTCATATGATTTTCTTTGTATGATACACATTGTGCATTCCTAAATGGAATAGGTTAATAGTACACATAATGCGTTTTATGACATAAACAAACTAAAAAAAACTTGATCTTTCATTTGTGATCAGACATGGACAAGAGTTGGATTGCATTGGGTAAGACACCTGATGGAAGGATGAGTCAGCCATTCATTGATGGAGTGACATCATTTATCAAATTTGCAATGGCAGTTGTTGACCAGGAAGGTAAAATTCTGTGCCCATGTTTGAACTGTGTGAACTATTTTTCCCAAAATCTTCGAAATGTGCAAATTCATTTGCTTCAATATGGGATTATGCAAACGTACACTATTTGGCATGAGCGCGGGGAACCACGTGTATCAAATGAGGCTCATCATGAAATGGCAATTGATGAAGATGAGGTTTTAGGTGGTATTGATGCCTTAGTGGAAGATCGAATAAGAGGAGAACCCAACGATGCACCCCAAAATGAGGAAGTACAAACGTTTGATAAACTATTGAATGATGCCAAACGTGAGGTGTACTTAGGTTGCACAAACTACACTTTGTTGAAGTTTGTCATCGAGCTGCTTAATATGAAGGTAACAAACCACTGGAGCAATAAGTCGGTTAACACACTATTGGAGTTTTTAACAAAACTTTTACCAAAAGATAATTTGGTTCCAAAGTCATTTTATGAAGCTAAGAAAATACTTCGTGATTTGGGCTTGTCATATGAGTTAATTGATGCTTGTTTAAATGATTGTGTACTATTTTGGAAGGAAAATGCAAGGTAGATAAATGTCCAAAATGTAAGGCATCCAGATACAAGATCAATCGTGGCAAGGGTAAGAAGATTCCCCATAAGGTGTTGCGGTACTTCCCATTAACACCAAGGTTGAAAAGATTGTACATGTCAAGAAAGACTGCTGAGGACATGAGATAGCACAAGGAGAAACGTATAGATGACGGAGTATTGAGACATCCCGCCGATAGTGATGAATGGAAGGAATTTGATGTGCAACATCCTCAGTTTGCCCTGGAGCCTCGAAATGTGAGGCTAGGGTTGGCTGTTGATGGGTTCAATCCTTTCGGGAACATGAGCAACTCGTATAGTTTATGGCCTGTAGTACTCATTCCTTATAACTTGCCACCTTGGTTGGTTATGAAAGATCCCTTTCTTATGATGTCACTACTTATTCCTGGAGAATCACAACCAGGGATCGATATTGATGTCTACATGAGACCTCTGGTGGATGAGTTGAATGAGTTGTGGGAAAATGGTGCATTATCTTACGATGCCGTAACTGGTGAGTCTTTCCAGATGCGTGCAGCTTTGATGTGGACTATACACGATTGGCCCGCATTTGGTGACATATCTGGGTGGAGAACAAAGGGTCATTATTCTTGCTACACTTGCAATGATGAACCATATTTTCAATCATTGAAAGGTAAGACTGCATACACTAACCATCGATGCTACTTGCCTCAAAACCACCCCGAAAGGCGAAAGAGTAAGGCTTACAATGGTAAGCATGAGAAGCGAAAGAGATCTTTAAAGTTACCTGTAACAACCCTCACACTGTTTACCGACTAAACACTGTTTACCGACTAATGACTGACTGATTACTATTAAACTGAATTGATCATGACTGATAATTGAGCTGATTAAAAGTACTGAACTGACTGACTGGAGTCTGGAATTAATTGACTGACCGTATCTGTTTAAATGCATAACCTATCTGTTTGATTGTTTGATTATCTGTTCATGTTTTATGTTTAAACTGCTAATTGAAGGCCTTATAGGCGGCCGAACCGGGAATCGATTAATGTTTTATAATCCTCATAATTAATGTGAGTTTATGGTGTATTTACCTGAAAACTGATTAGGTATGACTAAATTAGATTAAAACAAGCTAATTAAAGAGTTAGGCTTAATTACCAAATTGCCATTGTTAGTGGGCCTCTTATTATAACATATTAGAGCCTTGTGCACACTTGAAACAAGCATTTCCTCAGCCTTGTTTGATGCTCTAGCCGACCTTAGAGAGAGAGAGGAGCTAGAAGAGTTGAGTTCAACTTGTTTCATAGTGAATTGGCTAGAATTGCTTAAAGAATCGAAGGTTGATTACTAATTTGAGCTCCCTCACTTCTAATTCTACACCTAAGGTAGATCATTCATCATCTTAATGGTGTCTTTGAGTTGTTCTTGCATGATTCATGCTTCATTGTAGAACTAAGTCATGAATTGGTTCATTGTTGTTGAATTAAAGCTTAATGGTTGCATGCATGTACATATATTGAAGTTTTGAGGTGGTAGTTCATCATACCTCACATGCATGTCCATCTTTTGGTCATACTCCATGAGTTCATCTTGTTTTTGAAGGCTTGAGCTCTTTTGAAACAGCATTAAAGCTTTGAAAATGATTTAAGATCATGCATGTCATGTTTGAAGATTGTTCTTGAAAATGATTTGAAATTGGTTTGAAATTGGGTTTGAATTAAACACCCTTGGGCTTTGATTTCTCAAATTGAGCTTTGAACCACGTTATTCTATGTGTTTATAAATGTTTTCCAGAAAATGAGCCCAAGAGGATAGG